ATTACTTTATGCCCGTGCGGGCATAAAGTACACATTATGGCCCGCGCGGGCATAAAGACGCAAAAAACAGTTTTCAATTAACTTATTCTTTATTAACAAAATATAAATTTACGCTTATAAACATATTATTTTTGTCAAAAAATGATGATTTTGCACACTGATGACAATTTGCAAAGTGACGTTTTTTTCCCAGGTACCTATTTATTATTCACAACCAACTGGTATGACATAAAAGTTTGTATGCACCACGGGTACTAATAGATATATACCCTCGGGCGACTTACGAACCCTCGGGCCAGAGGCCCTCGGCTTTGTAAGACTGTCGCCCTCAGGGCATAATCATCTACTTAGTACCCTTGATACATAAATAACTATTATATCAAAGTTAGTATGTTAAAAAATATATCAGGTGTGGGTTGGCTAAAAAATTCCTGGCCAGACTATTATTAATAAATAATTCAAAAATTATCATTGTCAAAGGCATTGCACTCATTTGTTTAACGAACAAATTTCATACTAATCGAAAGTATAGGGCCTAAAGAATATAGAAGCGTTGGGGTGTCTATTTTTTTCCTGGCATAACTATTGGGTTAACAGGTTTGAACAGGTGAGTCGATACTAGTAATTTACACCCATCTGTTTATAGTAGATTATACCACGAGTCAATAATGATAGCTATTATTCCCGAGGATTATTACGAACTGAGCCGCGTTAGCGGCGAGGGAGTAACATTCCGAGGGAATAATAGCCATTATTGCGAGTAGTATACTCTACTTTATTTACGACAAATTAATTTATTTGAGATTTTCAATGAACAAATTTCATCCGTCTCATAATTTTCAATACAAATTCACAAGCACTACACGTTTGACACTGACACTTTTGTGGAATAATGACCATTAATCCCGCTATTCGTCATTAATCCCTGGAGGAATAACATATGTCATTATACTGCCAAAATCACAAATATAATACGCACATTATACATTAGTCGTAAATAAATGTATAAATCATACACCACTCTGTCGCATATTTCCATCCGCACCAAAATTTCGCTTTTCAAAGCTCGCCAACCGTCATTCAGGCCAGATTTTTCTCCGACAACCCTATATCATCGTGTTCGCAATAAAATTACTTTTTTTTTATGTAAGATTTATTCATTAAACAGATGGGTGTGAATTACTAGTATCGACTCACCTGTTCAAACCTGTCAACCCGATAGTTATGCCAGGAAAAAAATATACAATCCAACGTTTTTATATTCTTTAGGCCCTATACTTTCGATTAGTATGGAATTTGTTCGTTAAACAAATGAGTGCAATGCCTTTAACAATTATAATTTTTGAATTATTTATTAATAATAGTCTGGCCAGGAATTTTTTAGCCAACCCACACCTGATATTTTTTTTAACATACTAACTTTGATATAAAATAATTTTTATCCAATAAACAGATGGGTGCAAATCCTTTCCTATTCGGATCTTAGACTATGAGTACTACATTCCTAAATTATTTTCCGGTATACAGGGTGGCCCAATAACTAGTAATGACACAAAGTTATGTTTTTTAAATGACTCCTCCTGTATATTATGACTCTTCTGCATTTTGCGGAAAATTCTAAAGTGTGTTTTTTTTTTAAAGATAAAAGTCAAAATGACATTATGTTGGCAATGCAATGTAAAATTGTCAACGCTTTCGAATATTTTATGTAGAAAAGGCTTGTTATGCCAACATAGTTACTAAATTTTTGACTTGGGGAATTATCTTTAAAAAAAAAACAGACTTTAGACATATTTCATGTACAGGGTGGTCCAAATTGGACACTTTCTTATGGAAACACCCTTTATTTTTAGAGATAGAAAAAAATGAACCCCCCACTCTGATGCTCGAATTTCATAAAACTTTGATTGGTGCAAACCGCATTTTGATATCTTCAACCGTTTCGCCGCTAGAGGGCGATTCTCGATTTTGAGCAATACTGTGAAACCTTCATAACTTTTTGTTTATGAAAATAATTGATTTCCGTAAAGACTTTCTAAGAGCACTTTTTTAAGAAGAATTCAGTGACGTTCTCAGTTTTTTTCTAATTGACTCGGATTTCGAGACATTGACCAAAATCCGATTTTTTTCAATAGAACACCCTATATATTAATAGCTTATTGGAAAGCTCTGCTTTTGCTGATTTCAATGATATAAAGTTCAATAGGTTTATCCCTAACAGTTTTCGGGAAAAAAAATTATTTCTGTTTTTGTCATAAGAAACAATGTGTTAGAAAGAGACCTTTCTCATTTTCCTTATAGATATAAAGTCCGTTTCCAACACATTGTGTCTTATGACAAAAATCGAAATAATTTTTTTCTCGGAAACCGTTGGAGATAAACCTATCGAATTTTATATAATTGAAATCAGCAAAAGAAGAGCTTTTCAGTGAGCTATTAATATATAGGATGTCCTATTGAAAAAAATCGGATTTTGGTCAATATCTCGGAATTGGAGCCAAATAGAAAAAAGCTGAAAACGTCACTGAATTCCACTTAAAAAAGTGCTTCCAGAAAGTCTTTACAGAAATGAATTATTTTCATAAATAAAAAAGTTATGAAGGTTTCACAGTATTACTCAAAATCGAGAATCGCCCTCTAGCGGCTAAATGGTTAAAGATATCAAAATGCGGTTTGCACCAATCAAAATTTCATGAAATTTGAGCCTCAGAGTGGGGGGTTCATTTTTTTCTATCTCTAAAAATAAAGGGTGTTTCCATAAGAAAGTGTCCAAATTGGCCCACCCTGTACAATGTCATATATCTATCTTCAACTGTTTCGGAAATATTGACAGTTGAAAATTGACTTTTTTGCATCTTTGACAGACTGTGAAACCTAAACGGTTAATGTTAGAGGAAAACGGATTTTACATTCCTATCTTAGATTTTCATAAGCTATCATTTGACACCAACTTTGAATTCAACCGAAGATTAATAATTTAGACGGAATTTTTAATCATGGATTAAATTCAAGATTGGTGTCAAATGATAGTTTATGAGAAACTAAGATAGGAATGTCAAATCCGTTTTCTTGTAAAATGAACCGTTCAGGTTTTACAGTCTGTCAAAGATGCAAAAAAGTCAGTTTTTAACTGTTGATATTTCTGAAACAGTTGAAGATAGGTATATGACATCATGCATGAAATATGTCTAGAATTTTCCGCAGAATCCAGAAATGTCATAATATACAGGGGTGTCATTAAAAAAAAAACATAACTTTGTGTCACTACTAGTAATTGGGCCACCCTGTATACTGGAAAATAATTTAGGAATGTAGTACTCATGTTTATAAGTTTTGTGTTTAGCTTTTTCTTCGATCTTCGTTAGTATAGGAGATATGGACCACCGCGCGCTTAGTAACTCACCCTGTATATTCACCAAATATTAAAATCTTGTTTCTTTTCAAAATGTCCACTGTCATCTCTACCCCCTTCTGAATAACATTTTGCTTTTGGCCCTGAATATGGTCACTATTACTGGAAGTGGATTGAACGGTTTTTGTTGTTGTAGTTTCTTTCAAATCCTGGTTATTTCCTCTGGAAAAAAAGCTAGCTATTTGTGATTTTAGAACAGCAATTTCACCTATGTATGATAAATTTTCCGCCTCTAGAACCCTAACTGATGTGATCATGGCTGTATTAACTTCATTAAGATTCTTTATATCCTTATGAAAAACAGACATTTTATCCTTATAGGATTGTACAGTTAGATCCAGAGCGAGTCTCTCCTCCTTCAAAAATTTGATATTGTCGCGAAGGAATACAACTTCTTCGCTTTTCATATTCAACTTCCCTAGGATTTCCTTTTCGGCTTGAAAAACATCATCCTCAAATTCTTGGGTTTTCCTTCTGTTTTTTTTTAATCGTTGATTGGAGACATTGAATTTCAGACTTCATCTTAGATAGCTGTTCTTCTAGGTCCTGTATTACCTTGTCCTTATGAGAAGTTATTCAATCAAGTTGATTATTTTTCTCAGTGACTTGGATCTTAAGTAAGTGATTCTCACGTTGTAATCTATCAAGCTCATCGATATGCGGATCCGGGTTACCATCTTTGTTTAGTGATCTTTTGCATTCCTTAGAGCAATATATTTTGTGGTCCAGACCAACTTGATGTAAAATCCTTTTCCAGGCAGCTGGGATGCAAAAGATGAGAACAGGACATCTGCATTTGAATTTGGGCTTGGTGCTCATTGTTTATCCTAATAACTTATTGAAAATTAGTATAGGGTATATTGCACAAACAAAATACTTTAGTCCGGAAGCGTTGCTTATTTTAGACCTGCGATAAGCCGGCCAAAGAAGCGACAAAAAAGATATAATCCAAACAATATTGGCGAATTTCAAATAAAACTTAAGTGATTTAAGGCTGATTACCGCCGTATCGCGTAATAAAACTAGCGGAAATTTTGAAAACACATTCGCTCAATGCTCGTGGAGCTATACCATACAAAAATCAGAAAAATATGAATCACAAAACCGTCGAAAACTATTGTTAAACACGGAGCACCTTAACAATGCAACATTCGATTCTCATATTCTTTGGAAGTTTTTTTCATTATTATAAGTTTTGTTTCAAAAATGCTTGTGATTTTTTTTCCCAATGAATACTAACTATGTCATCTGGAGGAGAGGTTCCCTTCATCATACCAAAAAAAAAAATTAATTTTGGGGTGGTTTTACTTTTTCAAAATAAAAAATCCTTAAACGGAACAATTCATATATGTAGATACCCTTTTATGATTTCTGAAAAGTGGTACAAAAAGAAATGCGATCAATCATTTCCCTAACTTTGCGATTCTCTTCGATCTCGAGCAACCAGTATCTCTTTATGCCGTCTGTCTATCGAGTCGAGGATCTTCATCTTTTTCTGAATGTGGCGATGTTTGAATAGTCTGCAATTTCCCTAGATGAATCGCCAATTTACAAAGACATAATATTTAATCATATTTTTTTTTTTTAGAAGGAAGCCCAGGTCCAATCCAATCGCCTTCCCAAGTTTGTCTGCCACCACCGATGCCTCGAATGACATCTCCCCAACATCGCCGAGTGGTAACCAGCCCTGTTGGATATACAGGAGATATGCGCAGTGGAGTGACACAAATGAGATTTATGAGACCCACCGTGGAACATAATTCTCTGCAACGTATCAGAGGTCAAGCGCCTGGTCAATTGCAGAATTTCCCCTCTAAAGTTGGCACTCCATCTCCTCTCAATAGTCCACCTCTGAATCAAATGTCACTGGCTCATCAGCAAATATTACAAAAGCAATTGCATCAGCATCAACAAGCTTTGCTTCATCAACAACAGCAGCAACAACAACAACAACAGCAGCAGCAACAACAACAACAGCAGCAACAACAACAGCAGCATCAACAACAACAGCAGCACCAACAACAACTACAACAGCAGCAGCACCAACAACTACAACAGCAGCAGCACCAACAAATACAAATTTCCGATGGTACTCAGCAACAAGAAGCAAATGTTATGCATTCTCCCCGCGTTGCCCAATTAATACAGCATAGAAATCTTGGACGACCGCAGCAGCAACAACAACAGCAAACTTTGACAGCTCAACAACATCAGCTTTTGACCAAACAGCATCAACAAATAGCTCTTCAATTACAAGCAAGGCTGAATCAACAATCTCAGCAGCAATCACCTACTCCACAATCACCAATGCCTCCAAAAAGTCCCATGCACAACCAGAATATGTCTCCTCTATCGATGCCCACCTCGCCCATGCCTCCAAAAAGCCCTATGTTGTCTTTCAATCAACAGCAAAGCACTCCTAATTCTCCAGCAGCTCATAGAAATTCTTACTCTCAAAATCCTACTATGAATCAACCTCCGAGTAGTCCCATGATGCATCAATATCATCAACCTACTTCTCCTATGATACAATCTCCACACGCAATACGTCGACCTCCAAGCAGTCCTGCTATGCCTGAGAGGCCCTTGAGCGTAGAAAATCCTGGTACGCCCAGAACTCCTTACAGTTTAGATATGCATCTTCAAGATAATATGCACACAGGGGGAGGAAATCCTAATAATCCAAATAATCCAATTCCATTGCCTCCTGATGGGTTTTGCTACTCTAAGCTAGGCTTAAGAGGCGGTATGTGGAGCGGATTTGGAAGAGGAGAAAAACGAGTCCCAACACCTCCTACAAGCTCATCTACTAGTGAAACTGAAAAGCAATTACCAGTTGAAGTAACTACTTTGAACAAACCTAAAAAAGAGGCTCATATTAATAAAGTTTCCATTCTCAAAAAGAGGACACCACTGCCAAAAAGTAGTCCTAAATCTATTATAACCAGCAAAATCGCTGATTTTACAGAATATGATGAAACTTCTTCTACATCTCCTGCTTCTACATCTTCTTTATTAGCTGGACGTGGAGGGGCAGGACAGAAACCACTGTCAAAACAAGACGCCACCGGGGATAAGTTACAACTCCCTGAAATGGTGGATTATGAGGATGACAATAGTACAATACTTTCTTCAGAGATTTCGTTATGTTCCGCAGCTCAGCAAAACGATGACGAAATTGAAATAACTGAAACTCTTTCACAAAATGACATTGGTGAAGTCTTATCAAGTCCAATGGAAGCTGATCAAATTTCGGATGAGTTTATGCTGTTTCAAGAAAATATGTTGGTTGATCATTTGAGTGGCATTCAATATTCAGATAAAGAAGAAACTGAGGAGGAGTATGCAAATATTGTCATTCGAAGTCCAACTACTAGTGATGATGAATTTATTATGCAAGGCCGAACAAAGAAATATAATATATTGAACATTGCAGAAACTTCTGGTTCTCCAGAGCAAGATACCACCATGGAGCCATCCACAGAGCCAGAAGATGAGGAAATTACTCAGCCATTTGACGAATCGGAAGTGGTTATTATTGAGCAACCTGTAAAATCACCTGAGGAACAAATTTCAACTAAAGAAGATTTTGAAGAACTTATTGATGAAGGTTCTAGAAAAGAAAAAATGAAGCAAGACACAAAAAGTGTAGTTGAACCTCCACAATTTACTGCTGCCAGCGTGTATAGGTTTCCTTCTAAGACCCCTATTACTGTAACTAGAACTCAAAACGTTATGACAACAGCAAAAGTGGCACCAAAAATATCATTAATTACAACGGCGCCAATTATTCAAAATTTCACTGCTCGTTCTGAGGGTGGAAAACTGAATGCAGAAACTCAACAACTTATATTAACTCCTACAACAAAAATAACTACCACAAATGCAGGTTCAAAGCTAACAAGCATTATTTTGACACATAATCCTGTTAGAAGTAATATTTTGAATGTGGGACAAAAACTTGTAACATCATCACCAGGAATTACAATTGTTAGTGCCAGTACTTCTCAAATAGCTTCAATTTTGCCCTCCAAATTTAGTGTTCCTATTATCAGTGCAAGTGCAGTGAGGCAACTGCCAAACGTAAAAGTTATTGATAAGCCCAGCTCTTCGCTATCTTTGACGCCACGCGATAGTACTTTGCCCAATAAAATATTTGAAGATGAATCAGTGTCTCCGGAAAATGCAAATTTTGATGATGAAAAGAAAAATTTATTTGATGAGAAGTTGAAGGCAGAATTTACCGCAGCTAATGGAAGAATGCCAATGTTTGGGAAAAATGTCATTGCAACAAATAATAAAAATGATGAGAATAACACTAGTCAACGTAAAAATGACAAATCTGAAATTAGTAATATTGTTACTAAAGAAAAAGTTCAAGTCATAGCTAGTCCAATAATAGCGAAATCTGTATCTCCTGTAATAATTCATCATGCACCACCTGAATTGAAAATGACGGCTCAAGTAATCCAAGAAACATCCACTCGTATGCAAATAACTGCCACTGAAACTGTTAGTACTTTCATGGGTGATGGTTCAGTCGAAGATAAATCAGTAGTTATTTCCATACCTTCCCCTACGCCATCTCAAGAACAAATGCTTGATAATATTGCTTTGCAAGCCTTGGAGGAGAATAGGAAAAGAGAATTTGATTCTTTCGATTATGTATTGAATATGATTGAAAACATGCAACATTCAGAAACTCCAGAGCAGTCAGACGAACAAAATACTGAGAAAAAATCAACTAAACCAGCAGTAAAAGAGGAAGCTAATGAATCTACTGCAAATAAACAAACTATGCCGCAGTTGTCGCCTTTATCACAACCAGCTGATCTGACCACAAATATGGCAAATGCATCTCAACAATTGAGGAGTTTGCTTTCAAATATACAAACTACAACTTCTTCCCATGTGCCCAAAGTTGAAACTCTTGTAAAAACCACAAATAAACAAAAAATAATCAACGTTACTTCTTCAACTATTACTTCCCCTGTTGTTGCTTCAAGAATAATTCAACAAGCAACAACTACAAGTAATGTCAGTACTGTTATAGTACCTAATGTAGTCAAGCAAAAAGTAACTCTTGCACCTACTAGTAAAGCTAGAACATCGAGTACAGAAAGTTTTTTAACTAACCGATTTCTAGGAAGTGAACCTAAATCCACAACATCTACTCCATCTCAGACAACTGAAACTATCAATAAATCTCCAGATCTCAATAAAAAAGCTTCACTAACGTTAACCGCTATGCTTCAAAATCAACCATCAGCTACTCCCACAACAAAATCCTCACCTGATACAATAACTGCTGCCAGTTTATTAGCTACTCCTGTGAGCCTGTCAAGAACTAGTTTTTCACCGGCTTTGGCTCTAGCACAACCCAATGCCATTATAGCTAGTAGCCTAGCTAATACTAGTACCAGTTCTGTAATTTCGTCTGCTTTCAAAACAATCACTTCAACAAACTTATTGCATACTCACCTAACTAAGTCGAGAACTAAAAGTCTTGATGATATTAAAGATTTGAAAACTGATGATCAAAAGTCTGAAGCTGATATTATAACAAGCATAAAACAGGAGCTTAGTGGTTGTAGATATTTACCCGTAACTTCGTCAAGTCAAATAAATAAATGTGAAGACTCGCAGAATGTCCTATTAAAGCAACTTCTTCAGAATACTGCTTGTGCAAGCACTCAATCGCCGCCACCAAGTACTACATCCACAATAACGACAGCTCCAACTACTGAAGTTCAGAAAGTTAGCCCACCAACTTTGTCATCTTTACTTCCTCCAGTAACTAAAACCGAAGTTCAACCTACTAGTACCCCTCAGTCAAGACCTCCAATGCAAAGAGGTTTAATACGAGAAACTTCCTTTGTTTCTAGCCCAATAATTCAACATACTCCAACTAGTACAACTGTCGCAGCTACCACTACAACTCAACAGCTACATATTGATATTAAAAAATGTGCTCCTGTAGTTAGGCCTTCTAGTAGAGATGATTTACTATCTCCACCCACTCCGAGATCGTGCGGTAGTCAAGAGTCTAGTTTACAAACGCCCCCGTTAATAGTCAAAAAAGAAAGTCCAGCTTCTACTTCTACATGTCTTAGTATTGAGGGCATCAAAAAAGAATTACTAGATGAATCTTCCCAACACTCGGAAATATCTGATTTGGGCAAAGCTGACATTCAAATAAAAGAAGAGTCTGAGCCAGGGGAGATTAGTGATAAAATTATTGTTGATAAAGAAGAATTAAAAAAGCAAAAAAGGAGAATGTATAATCAAAAGAGACGTCAAAATCAGTTACTGAACAAAGAGTTGAATAATAAACCTAATAAGAGACCGAGGAAAAATTCCAAAATTGAAGAAGATTACGATTCTTATATAGACAGTGTTTTAAACCAGATAAGGCATTTGCATCCTATGGTTGTCTCAGAACCTGCTATAGTACGAAATCATGGAATTTTACCAGTTTTTGGCTCTGGCGATTTATCCAAATTAGGTACAAAATCTTTCGATCCCAGATTTGGTGATTTAACTGGTACTTATGGCAACGCATCGATTCCCGGATATTCAGATTTTTATAATACAATTCCTTATGGCGATGAAGAACCCATTCCTGAAAAACCACCAGCTTCTACACAGAGAGGATTTTATGATCAAGAATTTCCTCTTATTAAATTTGATACAGAAGATGATAAGAAGTTTGATTTGTTTTCCAGAGAAGATACACCAGATTCAATTGTTAGTTGTTCCTCCCCCGAATGTGATGCTTTTGATGCTTCTGATAGATATTTGGGTTTGAAACTTATTAGTGACGATGAAGAAGAAGAAGAATTATCCAAGGGTAGACGTTCGCCGAAAATACCAATAGTTAAACCCATTGCTATTAAACTAAAAGCCGCTGGCTTGTTCTTGAAAGAGCCCGCTACTACGAAAATTGCTTCGGATAATAATAAAGAAAATATTCTGAAAGAAATGGATCAGGAAAAACTGAAACCAAATCCTTCGCCTTCAGGTCCAGTAAAAGATAATGAAAATATTAAAGTTACGCTGACGTTCACATCATCGGCTGCTGAAGATATTGTCGGCGTGCTAAGAGATTTGGCGAATATTTTACAAATTCCTCCACCTACCTCTTATCAGATTGTTGATAGAACTTCTTCACCGACTAGTCAGAAGCTGGGATTGTATCGGACCAAGGGAAAAGATGGAAAGGAAGGAGGTAAGTTGATAGTTTCACAATTTTTATTCACGATTTTAAGAATAGCCATTGAACTACTTATAGGTTGCAAATTCCAATTCACAAAACAAAAATTGACAATTTTTGCCTATCAATTGAGACATTTCCTGTTTAACAAACTTAAGTCATCCAGTAAAAAGTTGAATATTGGCCAATCTGTGCCTATCCTGAGGATTTGCTACTTCAATACAATGGCTAAATTTTGCGAACTGAAGTAAACACTCAAATAGTGTACTTTTTGAATTCTTCAGTTTTTACTTTTGTATGTTCATATTCTGTTTGTAATTTATTTTCAGCTCCTATCGATATACAGAGTATCCTTAATGGGGCAGCAAAGTTTTGTAAACATTGTGACGTAGTTATTCTAAACAACTTGGTGAAAAAGAAGCCTTCAGATTTGCCATTTTTGTCAAAAGATTCCGAACTACTAAGTGAAGGAGAAGAACTATATTTTTGTGGTTCTTCTTGCTACATGCAATTTGCTTTGATGAATAGATCGCCGTCTATTCCAGAGGACAAGGTAGGCTCAAAAGGATATTATTAAATATAAGAATTTTTTATTATAAAAATTATTTCAGGCTGCGGCTATCATAGATCATCTATCACAAAAAGACCGTCAAAACTTAAAGCAACATGGACAACTTCAAGATCCTTTCGATTCGAAATCAGCTCTCGTTAACCGTTTGTTGACAGAAAATACCGGATTCAATCAGTACTTTGGTGGGGCCTTCAAACAAACTATGAAATTTGGGTCGTTCAAACCACCTGAGCATGCAAAAAGCCATAGAAATGCGTCGGTTAAATTTTGGACTCCTGGATGCTTGCAGCCTAGTCACAAGCATAAGAAACCTACTGATAAGGAGATGACGGAAATGCTGTATCAGATGGGGATTACGGTTACACCTTCAAAATTGCCTGACGATACCAGGAAGTGCATGTTTTGTCAAGGTGAGGAAAAAAATATCTATTATTATTATTATTTAAACAACAGCAAGCGGTAGAATCGATGGAGCTGCTGTCTACTTTAGGTTCAGAAGACTGCTTATTTAACGAGTTCACAAGATACTTGTTAGGTAGTTTACACAGAATAATGAATAAATGTCTCAGACATCAAACTGGAGCTCATTATCCAGTATATTTTTGAACGAGTTGGTATAGTCCAACAAATACCATTTTAAAGTCACGTGATTTTTCTCTATCCTTGTTGAATACATCTCAAACAGCGGTGATAGTAAAATTGACAAAAAAATTGCTGTCTAATTACTCTTCATAATATTCTCACCTGAAATAGAATCCGTCACTGTCATCAATTAGTTTGCCAAAGTTATTTTCGAAAATAATACAATGAACAAACACAGCTAATAATTTTGACTATATTAACCTTTTTCCAACTCGAAAAGAAGCAAATAGAAAACGGGTACCCAGTTTAAGTTCAGAATGTATTACAACAGACAGCACATACGACAAAACTGAGTCTCGCAACAATTGCAAGTATTAAAATTGCCCTCTGATCGGTTAATACTACTTCAGAAACGCGTTTGTAAAATGCTAGTGGGAACATATCCTAACATTCAATAGTAATTAATCACCAGTAGCATTTTGTAGGTGATATGAACGACATAATCAATGGACATACGTTTTTTGTCACCAGTATCACGTGACTTTAAAATGGTATTTGTCGGACTATATACTGGGAGCTGCGACTGTTCCTTCACTTAGTGAGATCCATGTATAGACCACCCTATTACACAAGAAGTTTCTTCTGAGAAGCTTAGAACATCTTTCCTTCTCTAATTTTCTAGAGTGCTCTCGAAAGTTGTGGTTGTCGCTTAGAGCATATAATATATTCAAGTTGACAGAGTAGAAATTACTTAAGATTTTATAAGTTGTGATTAATCTCCTCGTAGCCTACTGTCACGTAGGGTAGTTAGGTTGAACTCTTTCAGACGGTCTTCATATGCGAGGTCTTAGGTTTCTAGTGGAATTTTAGTAATTCTTCTTTGGATTCTTTCCAATGCCTCAATGTCCTTAGCATAATAAGGATTCCAGACTGACTGCTCCTTCACTGCTGGTGATAGGATTGCAGAAGAGTTTGGTGTCATCTGCGAAAAAACTGACATTGATCTTGAGATTAGTTGGCAGGTCGCTTATATACAGGGTGACAATTTAAAAAGTAGCAATCGGGAATATCTCTTAGATAAAAAATACTATCAGGAAGATCTTAAATACGTATCGGGGGATTGAAGGGGGAACCAAAATGAGGCACTTTTTGACTCACCCCTTAAGGGGTAGCTACCGCAACTTATTTTTTTTTTTGAATACGAACCTAGCTTGTTATCCCTTTACAATCCTAGAGAAAAATCTTAAATCGTACGATTAGTTTTTGAGATATCGGTGTTTAAAAGTAAGCACATTGTGAAAACTAGTAATTTTGACTATCTCATAGAAAAAAAAAATTCTGTCATAAAATTCTTAAATACTCATCAGCGAAACCAAATAATGTGTTTATCGTAATGCTATCTGCTTCTGCACGTCTCTAAAGACGGATAAAAAACCTTTCAAAGGAGCAATCACACGGAGTAGGTTCTCATTTTAGAAAAAAAGTGCCTCATTTTGCTTCCCCCTCCAATCCCCCGATACTTATTTGAGATTTTCCTAATAGTATTTTTTGTCTAAGAGATATTCCTGATTGCTACTTTTCAAATTGTCAACCTGTGTATCATAATTGGGTCAAGACTGAGCCTTGCGAGACTCCGCTATGTACAGAATGTCGAGTCGAATAAGCGCCGTTATCTCTAACCTGATACGTTCGATCGCTTAAGAATTGATGGATCCAACCCAATACGTTGTTACGTATTCCAAAATGTTCAAGTTTGTATAAAATACGATTGATTGGAACTTTATCAAAAGCCTTTTCGAAGTCTAGGTAGACGACGTCAATAGGTTGTCCCTCGTCATGTTAGTAGGTCGGTAGGTTGGTTTCAGTTGATCTTTTAGGCAAGAATCCATGCTGTGAAGACGGAAGGATATTGTTATCTATCAGAAAGTTTGTCAGTTCTCTGGCTACCTCTTTTCATAGATTTGTAAGTGTGAAAGTAAGACCCTCGGTAAGACCTATAGGACGATAATTTATTGGAGAGAGCTTGTCGCCTTTTTTATGAATTGGGATGATGTGGGCGTCTTCCCATTTTTCCGGAACTCTATCAATACTCATCAAGGGTACATCTTCTGAGATTTTTTTAATAATGTTTGTAATTGAGACTAGATCATCTCCTTTTTAATAAAGAATGAGTTAGGTTTGTAATGTTCTGTAACTTGTTTTTGAGTCACCCTGTATATATGGTATTATTATTAAAAAAATGGCCACTAAAATCAAAAATTGACGTGTCCGAGGTTTTTTGAAAAATATCCACCCTGTATATTTTATAGATTTTATTCCAACCTTTACGTGCTCACTGTATATAAACCCGAATTGACGAGTAAAGTCAGCTAATAAATAACTCGTTTTTCGCTCTATCGAATTTATTTAAAAAATTACACCATTACAAACCTGACTCATTCTCTATTGACTCACTTGGTGTACATCCTGCCCACCCTCTTCTTCATCTCCTTTTCGTTGAGGTACACTAGAAGCTGTTGACTCCTTAACACCAAAAGTTAAGAAATGAAACCTGTGTTTTTCTCTTTCTCCCATTTCTGTAATCGCAGGAGGGGTTCAGCCTCCTAGTAGAGTGCTCCTTATAATATATTCTGACTTTTGTGGGCGCGTCAGGGTTACAGAAAACATAGTTTTGTTCAAACAGGGTGTTGCAGAAAGTTTAAAAAACATTTTTTTTTTAATGGGACACCCTGTATATACAGGTTGTGCGATATCGAACGATATCTCTTCACAGGGTGATGCAAGAAAAAAAAAATACAAAGTTGTTTGATACTCTAATATACATTAGTTAAAAATATTTTTGTTATACAGGGTGTTCCGTTTATGGGGTATGCGACAGAACTTTGTTTTTTTAAATGGTACACCTTGTATGTGATCGCATTTTTGGATTCTACGTAAAATTCTGAACAGATTTCATGTGATATACCCTATACCTAAGTCCAACTGTTTTGGAAATATTGACAGTTGAAAATTGACTTTTTGCAACTTGGCAGGCTGTAAAACCTAAACGGTTAATTTTAGAGGAAAACTGATTTCACATTCCTACCTTGGATTTCCATAAACTATCATTTGACACCAACTTTGAATTTAACCGGAGATTAAATTTAACTGGAATCCATGATTAAATATTCCATTTAAATTTAATCTCTGATTAAATTTAAAGTTGGTGTCAAATGATAGTTTATGGAAATCCAAGGCAGGAATGTAAAATTAATTTTCCTCTGAAATTAACCGTTAAGGTTTTACAGCCTGTCAAAATTGCAAAAAGTCAATTTTCAACTGTCAATATCTCGAAAACAGTTGAACCTAGGTATAAGGTATTTTAGATGAAATCTGCTCAGAATTTTACGTAGAATCCAAATATGCAACCACATACAGGATGTTCCATTTAAAATAACCAAGTTCTGTCGCATACCCCATAAACGGAGCACCCTGTATGTTCAAGAATATTTTTAGCTAATGTATATTAGAGTATCAAACAACTTTGTAATTTTTTTTCTTCTTGCATCACCCTGTAAGGAGATCGTCCGATATCGCACTAAGTGGACACCCTGTATATTAGTATTGTATAGTGGCACAAAAAAGTTAAGGGAGGTGGGAAAACATAAAAAATGACCCTGTACAAACATATAGATAAATTTTATATGAGAACAGTCATAATAGTAGATTATTATACCACAAGTCAATAATGATAGCTATTATTCCCGAGAAATATTTATGAACTGAGCCGCGTTAGCGGCGAGGGAGTAACATTCCGAGGGAATAATAGCCATTATTGCGAGTAGTATACTCTACTTTATTTACGACAAATTAACTTATTTGAAATTTTCTAATTCCATGGTACTACCTACTTATTAAATTTGAAAAATTTTGTGATTGGTGTGCAAGCGGGAATAATGACCATTAATCCCTACGGGAATAATAGATGGCATTAAACTGCCAAAATCACAAATATAATACTTACATTATATGTCAGTCGTAAATAATAGTACATTATACACCTAGGGACTAAAGTGGGAGGGCTATAATTTGTCGAGGTATTAAAAAACACTTTAGTCCTGAGGTTTTTACACTATTTTATGCACTTTACTTTATTTCCCGGGGATTGAATAAAGCCGATAAAATGGTACTTTTATTCCCTGTTCCATTCAATCAAAGGGTACTTTTAATCCCTGAAGTGCATAAATTACTATTCTATACGTTCATGCAATAATCTCAATTTTCAAATAAAGTCTGTTTTTTTTTTAAAGATAAAAGTCAAAATAATAGTCTAGGAGGCAGTGACGATTTTCGGAGGGGGGTTTTCCGATGGGTTAAGGCGCAAAATGCTTTAGAGCTTACCAATGCACAACCCTTTTTTTTCCAGTGATAAAACTAAGTCAACTAATCAGAAGTATACTGAAGTTACGTAAAAAAATAGTCCGGCTAATCTGTGAGTATGGATAATACTTATGTCTGGCAAGTGAAAAATTGAACATCCGAAAAACTTCAGCCAGACTAACTTTCCACTATCTGAAATAAGCCAAATTGCTATGTTCATATACTTTATGTTCTATTGTAGTGGATGTGAAATATTTATGACTGGGAAAATAAGTGTACTTGTATTTTTCATTGATCTAGTGAACACATCCGAAAATTTTTGCGAAACTCAAATATTCTTGTTATGTATCACCAAGAAAACAAACTATTTAATATACACCAACTGGGAAAATAAGTCCTAAAAAATTTCACTGCCTCCCGGACTATAACATTCTGTTGGCAATACAATGTAAAATTGCCAATGCTTTCAAATTTTTTATGTAGAAAAGGCTTGTGTTGCCAACATAGTTACTAAATTTTTGACTTGGGGAATTATCTTTAAAAAAAACAGACTTTATATAATATTCATTTAGAATAACTCCATCCTTATTTGTCAATCACGAATCAGATGAAACAAAAAATTACCAACAAAAACGAACGTCGATTGCTAATACGTCAATTTCATGTACAAATAGGAAATTCCTAACCTAATTTCATTTGTGTGTTCAAGAAGCGACATACGTTTAGGCTGTCGTCCGAATATAACCAGGGTTGTGGTTTTGCAGTCCGAAATTATTCTGGTTCCTGGAAAAATGGTTACTTTTGGACCTTTAGTTTCCTGAAATCTGGTTAACCAAATGTCAAAATAGTTACCGGCTATCGGATGTCGGTTGTGTTGGGCTTATCTGTAATTTCTGTCAATTATTTTTTATTTCATATTCGCGTTCCCCAAGTAACCGGAATTTTCGGTAACCATCTGTCAACCGATTCGGTTACTTTGGTTAATGTTTGGTTATATTCGGACCATAGCCTTAGTCACTAAAACCACTCGTACTTCCAAATAGGTATTGAAAATTCTATACTGCCCTTTTGCCTGTTCTGATTTTGTATTACAGGTTAGTTTGGGTTAGTTTGGGTTAGTTAGTTCCACTCCTGGACATAAAAAACCGGACAAACAAAATTTTGTTAAATTTCAATCCTAAATAATTTTTCCAATTTTGCATCGAAATTGATAATTTTTTGTCAAATGGTAGGCGCGTTTATCTTGATCATTATTTAATATTGTGTTTGCAAAAATTTCGAATGGATTTAGTGTTATACAGGGTGGAACCATAAGTTGCATTTAGTCCCAAACTTCTGAACACTCTGTGGAATAATTCAACGACACAATCATGCGTATTTGCAGGACATTCTTAAGCCTTATCATTTCTTAACATGTCTTTTTTTAATTCATATTGATATCTTCAATCTCAAAGGAAACACAAATTTTTAGAGTAGCAATGCAATTTATACCAATAATAAAAATTAAAAACATTACAGATAACTTTAACAAATGAACAAACACTAATATTGGGTATTACCACCTCCTGCTCTAATAACTGCTGCCATGCGACGTGGTAAGCTCTCAATACAATTGGCAATAGCCCTTCGTGGAATGTTCTACCACTCTTCAAGAAGAAATTTTCGAAGATCTGGAATGGTTTCCGGTTGTCGATTGCGAATTACTCTCCCTAGCATGTCCCACATATGCTCAATCGGGTTCAGATCAGGGCTACGTGGAGGCCAGTCCAATCGTCGAATCCCTGCTTCATCAAGATAATCACTGACAACTCTTGCGACATGAGACCTGGCATTGTAGTGCATCAAAGAAAAATGTTCACCAACAAATGGAGCAAAAGGAATAACGTGGTCCGCTAAACATTCCTCAATATAACGGTTAGCAGCTAAAGCGCCATTTTCGATAAAAACCAGGACAGTACGGGCGTGAGGTGTACTTCCAGCTCATACCATGATACTATTGCCTCCAAAAGGTGTTCTTGGAGAAATGCAACAGTCGGAAAATCGTTCTCCCCGTCTTCGCCATACACGCTCTCGTCCATCGGGTGAACGCAAACAGAAGCGCGATTGCCGCGATTCGTCAGTGAATAGCACACATCCCCACTCTTCGTCATTCCAGTTTCTATAGACACGGGCAAAATTGAACCGTTGAGTACCATGGGCTGCTTGTAAAGGTGGACAAGCAGCCGGTCTTTTTGACATCAATCCTTGTTCATGTACTCTACGGCGAACGGTTCGTTCAGAAACTCTTGTGCCACGTACATTTTCAAGTCGATGACTAATAACAGCAGATGTTACTCATCGGTCTCGTAGAGCAGTTAGAGTAATAAAATGATCATCTCGCTGGTTTGTGACGCGGGGACTCCCAGATCTTGGACGTCGTGTGTACTCACCAGTCTGACGGAAGCGACTAATTGCATTGTGTACAGTGCTTCTGGCTCCAAGAACACCTTTTGGAGGCGGTAGTATCGTGGTGTGGGCTGGAATTACACCTCATGCCCGTACTGCCCTGGTTTTCATCGAAAATGGCCCTTTAACTGGTAACCGTTATATTGAAGAATGTTTAGCGGTTCACGTTAATCCTTTTGCTCCATTTGTTGGTGAAAATTTTTGTTTAATGCACGACAATGCCAGGCCTCATGTCGCAAGAGTTGTCAGTGATTATCTTAATGAAGCAGGGATTCAACGATTGGACTGGCCTCCACGTAGCCCTGATCTGAACCCGATTGCGCATGTGTGGGACATGTTAGGGAGGCTAGTTCGCAATCGAGAACCGGAAACTATCCCAGATCTTCGAAAACCTCTTCTCGAAGAGTGGGAGAACATTCCGCAAAGGGCTATTGCCAATTGTCGCACGGCAGCAGTTATTAGAGCACCTGGCGGTAATACCCAATATTAGTGTTTGTTTATTTATTGAAGTTATCTGTAATGTTTTTATTTTTTGTTATTGGTATAAATTGCATTGCTACTCTAAAAATTTGTGTTTTCTTTGAGATTGAAGATATCAATATGAATTGAAAAAAGACAAGTTAAGAAATGATGAGGCTTAAGAATGTCCTGCAAATACGCATGATTGTGTCGTTGAATTATTCCACAGGGTGTTCAGAAGTTTGGGACTAAATGCATCTTATGGTTCCACCAAATCCATTCGAACGTTTTGCAAACACAATATTAAATAATGAACAAGATAAACGCGCCTACTATTTGACAAAAAATTATCAATTTCGATGCAAAATTGAAAAAATTATTAAGGATTGAAATTTACCAAAATTTCGTTTGTCCGGTTTTTTATGTCCAGGAGTGTACTTTGGGATTATGATTAATATTATAAAAACCTTCATTCTGTGCAAGTTTCAGCTTGTAACCCCAACACGCACACAAAACTCATTTTTGGAAGGCTTTAACTACGTTGGGCACTCTATTATATCCAGTATCATCATCATCTATGAAACTTTTTAGCCTTGTCACAAAATTATTTTGCATCCACTAGACTAGAACCTTAAAGACTAACTGTAGCGCTATCCTTTGTTCAATTATTCCTAATAATTCATCAATTTACAATTATTGTCTTATAATTCCTTGGATTTGTTTTAGTTATTGGAGATGGAGTAGCTGACGGTCCAGCTCGCTTGCTCAACATCGACGTAGACAAATGGGTGCACCTCAATTGCGCCCTCTGGTCCGATGGAGTCTACGAAACAGTTAATGGTGCCCTTATGAATTTGGAAAACGCCATGCAGCAAAGTTTAACCTCAACATGCATCCATTGCAGTAAGCTGGGAGCTACAATACGATGTTTTAAAACCAGATGTTCGAGTGTATACCATTTATCTTGTGCTGTAAGAGAAAACTGTGTTTTCTATAAAAATAAGACTGTTTTCTGTATGGCGCATGTTCCCAAACATGAAAAAGACAATGAGTTGACTACCTTATCAGTGGGCAGGAGAGTTTATATAAACAGAGATGAAAATAGACAAGTTGCTGCTGTGATGCATAATTCAGATACTAATAATTTATTGAGGGTTGGCAGTTTGATTTTTCTCAATATTGGACAGTTATTACCTCATCAGTTGCAAAACTTCCATACACCAAATTATATTTATCCTATAGGTAAGTTTATGTTTTATCTAGTGGAGAATATTTAAGCAACAGAATAATTTTTATGCGGTGTAATATTAAAATATCTACGTTCTCCTAGGTTATAGAATAATCCGTTTCTACTGGAGCATGAGAAACGTGAATAAAAGATGTCGCTACATTTGTTCTATTAACGACAATATGGGACGTCCCGAATTTCGAGTGTTAGTTCAAGAACGTTCCGAAGAAGATACTGAATTTAAAGACTTTACACCTAAAGCAGTGTGGGCACCTATTCTCGAAAAAATTGCTAGCATACGAAAAGAAAACAAGTGCCTACAAATGTTCCCTAGATTTATCTCAGGTGAAGATCTTTTTGGTTTAACTGAACCAGCTATTGTTAGGGTGTTGGAAAGTCTACCTGGAATTGAGACACTTTCCGACTATAAGTTTAAATATGGAAGAAATCCGCTGCTGGAATTACCTTTAGCCATAAATCCAACGGGTGCTGCTAGAAGTGAACCGAGATTACGCCATCAAACTCATTGGAAACGTTTCCATAGAACTACAGGATCTAGTTCGAGACCTTTGTTTGCACCACTTCCTTCCAACGCATCAGCGCCCTCTTCTTTTGGAGAAAGTGTATGCCCTTATAGCAAACAATTCGTTCATTCAAAGAGTTCACAATATAAAAAGATGAAACAGGAATGGAGAAACAATGTTTATTTGGCGAGGTGAATTTAAATTTTCTGTGTTAGTGTTTGGTAGCAATATTCTGTTTTTTTTTTATTAGGTCAAAGATTCAAGGGCTTGGATTATATGCAGCTAAGGACATAGAAAAACACACTATGGTTATTGAATATATTGGAGAGGTTATCAGAAGTGAATTATCTGAATGTAGAGAGAAACAGTATGAAGATAGGGTAAGTCTATTTTTCACCTGAATGTCTAGAAGGGATACTCATAATTTATTTTCAGAATCGTGGAATATACATGTTTAGACTTGATGATGACAGGGTTGTGGACGCAACGTTAAGCGGAGGTCTAGCACGGTACATCAATCACTCGTGCAACCCTAACTGTGTAGCAGAAACTGTTGAAATTGACAGAGATTTGAAAATTATCATTTTTGCCAAAAGACGAATTCAAAGGGGAGAAGAAGTAAGATCACATTCCATTTTTTTTTTAGAATTTAGCATTTTGTTACAATCTACAAAGGGCGCCACATGTCTTGATGCCGCCTTTGTGAATTTTAGGAAGGCGTGTGAATTTTAAGAGAGTGTGAGGGTCTATTTATTATACAGGATGTCTCAGCCCAGAGTGACCCATTTTAAATGCTTCTAACTTTTAAACCAGGCGTGCTAGCTACCTGCGGTTTGCGCCATTCGATTTCTCTTGACCTTAAGTTTTTTGTAGTAGGCAATTTTTTTTGTCACTTATACAGGACGAGTAAAAAAAAATCGTTTTTCAACATTTAAATTCTCCACTATTTTTAATAGAACACCCTGTATATCATTATCACAGCTTCAAAAAAAAGAGTAATGTTCAAGGTATTGATGTACCAATAAACATCGTCCTTTAAACATGAAGTTTGTAACGATTCCCCCCCCCCTCTCTCTTGGTGCTACTTGTCATCTAAGGGAATGAGTTCCACTCGAGCAGGCAAATTCGAATAATCTATCTATTTTTTTTATTTCCTCGCTATGCCTGCCTGATGGACTTTCACAAATATTTTGGCAAATTAAATAAATAAATGAGGTAAATATATATATATAATAATACCTATGGAACCCTTTGAAAATTAATAGAATTAAACAATGAACTAAACAAACATACAGGAACGGTGGCTGCATAATTGTTTCTACGCAAGTGTTCGTGCCAGGAAGGACAACAAACAAGAGGGATTTGCATATCTCTCTGCACTATGGCGGCTATTGAGAACAGCTGTTTGAAGTGTTTGGATCATTGAAGTTAGGAAGATGAAGAAGCTCTTCTTTTTTTTACATTAATCGCAATGAGTGCGAGCGAAACAAAAATCCCTCCGTATTGCTGGGTTGCATGCATCAAAATTTGGCACACTAGCATAAAGCAGTGCGCTCGTTCCAAGGCTACTTTCTGTACTACTCCAAGTACTAGGGTGAGATCTGGACTTTCCAAACAACTTTACACTTAAATTTACAATTGAAAATTAGAACACTCTGTTATTATACACCGAAGTAAAGACATCTTTGACAATAATTTATCCAACTCACTATGATGGCCAATCGCGTGGTTGTTATAACAAGTTGAAAATAAGATTTGAAAAAATTAAGGAACTTAGCTTTAGATCTTTTGGTTAGTTGACGCCCCTTACGACCCTTATGCCTGCCTACAGCTTGGCTTTTGAACAATCACGGTTCACGTGTCTCCAGTTCCGGACCTGAAGAATTTCTATAATGAACAGTTCGCCGGGCTTCCACTTTCAGTCGACACGTGGTGGGCGTTTCAAGTCTTCATTCGTCAGAAATGTTGAGAAATTGACTAATACGTCTTCCACACTCCAAAATATCCCAACTGGTTATGGTAATGGTCATTTAAATCTTGTGTTAGGACAGCTGGTTCAGATATTCTCCATATCTTACAGTTTTCATCAGAGCAAAACAATATTCCGTCATGTAACCTGTAGCCACTCACTGCGTCATTTTTTCTCCGTTTGTAGATGATTTGTTTTAAATGTTCTTCTTCCTGCTGGACTTTGAGTTCTTTGTCTTCCAGGATTTTAATATCCGCAATCCTAATTTCTTGCTTTTTGCTTCCAGGCTTTAACAATTTGTGTAGGGAAAACAATGTTTCTGTGAAGTTTTGGCAGAATCGTCTGTGGTAGTTGCATATTCCAAGAAAACCTCTCAAACTTCTTATACAGTATCCGCCAAAATAAACAGTACTGAACATATAAATTATATCATTATTTAATTTGTATCATGCGTATATGCTTAAAAAATACATCATAGCGACGCAAAAAAGCTTCATAACGATTCTGCAAATCATATTGAAAATATTTATTAAGAGTGGTTGCTGAAATTTTTCTGAGACTTGTTTCAGACTTGAGCCTGTACTCTGTATTCCTTCCAAATCCGTATGACCGGAAATAGTGCTCTACTAAGAAAGCTGTTTCTTGAGTTGAAAGATACATAATGACGAAAATTTTAACATTAACTTAATGTCAACCTTATAACTAATCCCAAGTAAGCGAAATATTATAAATGCAACTTGCTTGCGCAATTACTCAGAGCTCCAGATTTTGGTACTGTTTATTTTGGCGGATACCGTATTTGTTGAAGTGAATCTATCTTTGATGTATCGATCTTTATTATACCTTCAGTTGTCAAAATATGACCGAGAAAAGGAATTTCCGTTCTATAAAATTTATATTTTTCCAGATTTACTGTCAAGTTCGTATCCTTTACCTAAAGACAATTTTCAAATGTTCATGTTGTTGTTTGTCCGAGCACGACACAATCAATATGTCATCGATATAGCATGAGACAAACCGCAATCTTCAAAAATTAAGTTTACACATCGTTTCATACCGGCCACTGCTTTCTTCAGTCCAAACGGCATGACCATAAATTCATACACCTGATTGTCGAACATAAAACCGCAATACTTGGTTGATTCTGGAGAAAGTTTTAATTTTCCAGAAACTGCTTGTTAGATCTAAGGTGCTAAAAACCCAGTCTCTATTGTGTTGGTACAGCAAGTGTTCCGCCGATTGCGGACATTCATACACCATATAATAATTACTGGAATTATTGTGGAAATACATATATGGTGTTTCAGATTTTCCTATAACACCCCATCCAATCATTTCCGCAAGCATTTCCCTCACTTTTTTCCTATTACAAGCGAGGAACTCGATATGATCTTGGTCGAAAAGGCGTTTCGTCCATTAATCTGATTTCATGGATATACAGGTTAGATTGGTCAGGTTTGCTTGGAAATATATCTTCAAAATTCGTTAATAAGTTTTTCTATTTCTTGTGGTAGGATTTTCTTATTCTCCTCTAATTCCGTCTTGTCTTCTGTAGCAGTATTTTCGCAAATAACCATTATTTTCGTATCTAGAACAATATCCTTGTTACTATAGATTGGATAAAAGGAATTTTTGTCTCTTCAAGTTCCAAATATTTATTATTAAAATCTATTTTCACTTGCACTATTCCCAACCAATATGTTTTTACAATCACATTCTGTATTAAATTATCCACCACCAATGCCGCAATTTCCAACTCCAAATGTTTTATCCTCATCCCAAGGTAAACTTGGCAATGCACATTTTTGCTTTTATCGCCCGTGGCTCCCACAATACACCTGTTACCGGCAGTTTTAGGATATTTTGGTTCGTCTTACAAATTTCAATATAACATTTTCTGGATTTGCAGGTTATCTGACTTCTAGAATCAGTTAGGATTACACATGTTCTATCCTCTATTTTTGCCTCTATCAATGGTGTTTCAGCATATTCCTGCTCCTCTCCTCTTCATCAGATTCAACAAAAATGGTGTCGCAGATCCGTTTAGCATCCTGTTCACTGTTTTTATAATATTTGTTTTGTTGTATTTCATTCATGTGGTTTTTTATTTTTGTTCTCAATGTGTTCTGCTGTATGGAATCCCTTATGATATTTTCTCGAGTATTTTCCTCATTGTTCTTAATTATTTCAACTGAAACCTCCATTCCATTGTTGTTTGGGTTAGATAGTTTATTCTCCATCTATTTATTTATTTATTCAGCATGTATAATTACAGGTGATGGTCTTACATAAATAGCACAATTCGCATATAAGTAAACTTAAAGTTAATTGAAACAGATTATTTTAATTCTAGAAAAACCTCAAATTTTCACATGACACAGATAGGTAACAAAAAAACATTACAAGTATTATACATATTACATTATTAGAAATTTTTTAACTCTAAATTTAAAAGTAGTTGATGTGCAGTTTAGGTCAAAGTCTAGTGGAATATGAGCATCGTACAGCCTCATTAAACGATTTTTGACATTGTTTCTGCCTATATTGCTACGACATTTAGTTGTGTAAAAAACATTGTCAGATTTTGTTCGATAGGTTGGTATTCTAAAATTGAACATACCAATTAGAGCACAGCAGTCAATGTTATTGGTCAAAATTTTATGAATAAAACTCAGCGAAAGCAATTCTCTTTTAGACTCTATACTTTCCATGCCGAGAGTTTTTAATCTTCGGTGGTATGTTAGAGGATTTTTATCAATTTTTAATTTATAGAGTAAAAATCTGACAAATTTTTGTTGAATTTGTTCTATTTTATTAATGTATTCTCTATAAAAAGGAGACCATACAACATAATTATACTCCAGTCGACTCCTCACCAATACATAATATAAACTTTTTATCGCCTCCACATTCCACATAACTGAACTCCCAGCACTGTCTCAACACAAATCCGAGCATACGATGAGCCCTAGTGACAGCGTCATTTATAAAATATGATCATTAAAGGATTACAGCAAAAAATTAACGAAAAAAACTTATAGCCGCATAAGCGAAACTTATTGTACGTATTGGTAGAAACATATAAAGCTTAGAAAATATCGTCTGTCACCTAAATTTCACAACAAAAGTCGTCTGCCAACCACATAAGTGAACGCAAAAAAAAAAAATATTTGAAAAAATTATACCCGCAAGGCTACTAAATAACTATTATGTCATACCAATACATTATTGTCTTTTTATACCTTAGATACCATCTACATAATTCATTACTTTATGCCCAGGCTACTAAATAACTATTATGTCATACCAATACATTATTGTCTTTTTATACCTTAGATACCATCTACATAATTCATTACTTTATGCCCGTGCGGGCATAAAGTACACATTATGGCCCGCGCGGGCATAAAGTACACATTATGGCCCGCGCGGGCATAAAGACGCAAAAAAAAAATTTCAATTAACTTATTCTTTATTAACAAAATATAAATTTACGCTTATAAACATATTATTTTTGTCAAAAAATGATGATGTTTGCACACTGATGACAATTTGCGAAGTGACACTTTTTTCCCAGATATTTATTATTCACAACCAACTAGTATGACATAAAAGTTTGTATGCACCACGGGTACTAATAGATATATATACCCTCGGGCGACTTACGAACCCTCGGGCCAGAGGCCCTCGGCTTTGTAAGACTGTCGCCCTCAGGGCATAATCATCTACTTAGTACCCTTGATACATAAATAACTATTAGGATGAGTTTGACAAGTGTCAAAAAGAGAAAATAAATATTCCAAGTTTAAATTTTCATTTCCATTTTGAGTGTACGCGATGAATCCTTCTATAATCCCTTTAAGAACTCTAGAACATTAGACTTGAGCTTTTCACAATTCATTCTGGTTAGCCTTACGAAAAGAATTAAAATAAATATGAATAAGAGAAAAATGCAGCGTCCTAGCGGTGGTGCTCGGGCACTGCATGCCGAACCCAACTTCATAGGCTTGGCAGACGATCTTCGTTGTATCTTATTCGTGGCAGACAATTATGTTTGTGTTTGTTTCCATAAAAACAAGTATTTTAATTAATTTTATGTATCAAGGGTACTAAGTAGATGATTATGCCCCGAGGGCGACAGTCTTACAAAGCCGAGGGCCTCTGGCCCGAGGGTTCGTAAGTTGCCCGAGGGTATATATCTATTAGTACCCGTGGTGCATACAAACTTTTATGTCATGCCTGCGCGGGCCATAATGTGTACTTTATGCCCGCGCGGGCCATAATGTGTACTTTATGCCCGCACGGGCATAAAGTAATGAATTATATAGATGGTATCTAAGGTATAAAAACACAATAATGTACTGGTATGACATAAAAATTATTAATTTCAGCCTTGCAGGTATAATTTTTTTTTGCGCTTACTTATGTGGGTGGCAGACGACTTTTGTTGTGGAATGTAGGTGGCAGACGATATTTTCTAAGCTTTGTATATTTCTACCAATACGTACAATAAGTTTCGCTTATGCGGTTATAAGTTTTTTTCGTTCATTTCTTGCTGAAATTGTAACCCTCCTGTAACTCCCCTGTCGTGTTGGTGCGCCGGCAGATGTGCATATTACTATCATATACTACACGCATAACACATACAAAAAGAATGAAGCTTGCGGAAATGGTACAATGAAATATGTCGTTAACTCCCAGACTATTTGTAGTCAAATAGAACTCTCAGATCGCGAACAATATGAACCCTAGTTATGCATTTCCCATTTATTCTATAATTATAATCGACAGTTTTTAACTTTCTAGAAAACGTGATAACTGGGCATTTATCAATATTTAGTTCCAATTTATTGATCGCACACCAGTTAACTAAGCTATTTATGTCGTTTTGCAATTCATCACAGTCGTCTTTGGTACAAATAATTTTGAATATCTTCATGTCATCAGCAAAATTCAACGAATTATATCTTTTAATTTCGTACTTGATATCATTAATAAAGTTCAAAAACAAAATAGGACCCAAATGAGACCCTTGAGGCACTCCTGAGTGCACTTGCACTACATCAGAAAGTATGTTGCTTATTTTAACCTTTTGAGTTCGATCCGTAAGGTATGCCTCTATGCTTGAAACGAGGGAAGCCCCAATACCATAGGCAAGGAGCTTATTGATCAACAGCACATGGTCCTGTCGAAATGCTCTTGATATTTTGTTGCTCACTATGTTTAGCTCCTCCTGGCTCCTATACTATCACTGTGTGATTTTTCGGAGCTGAAAAAAAAACACAGTTTTTAGTTTTCCCACCCAGACTGTTCCTGTCTTCTATTAGTTGGATCCCTATGAATTGTCTGTACTTTCTGTATCTTCCGAATTTTCATCCTTGTACTCTCTGGCATATATTGAATTTACTCCATCTGTTGGCTGTGCCCTGTAGTTTTTCTCTCGGTTCCGATCAATCCGATCTGGTTTGTATTTATTGTCATGACCCTTTTCCTGGTATTGTTTTGGATCATATTGTCCATAGTTCTGGTCCTCCTCTCTGTTTCTATTGTCGCGTTTTTTAATTAGGCTGAAATTTTCTATTAATCTCATTGTTCCGTGAGTCATAATACCTCTTCTGTATTCTAGGTCTCACTTGAGGACGTCCACTTTGTGCATATTAACAAATATCTTTTCTTTCTCTATCATCCTGGTTGTAATTTATATCCTGGTATCTATGGTTCTTTTGATAATTATTATTTTTATAGCCTTGAGTGTAACTTCTGTGTTCTAGGTTGTCAAATTTTTCCAACACTTCCAATATTTTCTCCGGCGATTTAGGATACAAACTAACCAGAATTTTGGCTGTGTTGATGGGAAAATGGTCAATCAACAATTCGATTCTTTCCTCAAGCGAAATTAGATCAATTTCCTTAATTTTCTTCAACATTCTCAAGAAGTAATTAAGACGACATATCCAAATTTTTCCCTATAGTATAACCAATTTCCCCTATACTATAATTTCCACTATAAATGTCTATCAAGCCTTTTTGCTGTTTTCCTGTTTCCATCTAGAGTTTTGCAGGGCCCTTAAGGCTTTCCTGGGCCCAGGTAAGGTAATCTCTGGTTCCAATTTGTTGGTCAACCATCCATCTCTCCAGCCGTGGGATTCAAGCTGCTGGTTCTGTTAATTGTTGGCATATTGCTGGAGTCTACTGGCCATTTGTATATATGCGTATTTTGGTTGTGTGCTGCATTTCTTGAAGGTACTGTAGTATTCCACTGCCCTCGTTCATTCGTTGGGTCGTATAATGGTTTTTCCTTATAGGTACTGTTCAGCTGGTCTGGATTTATTCTCTTTTCTTGCAAATGTTCGTTGTTATACATATTGGGTGTATCCTTCTTCCGAATGTTTGCTTCGTGACTTCTCTGTTTACCTTTTTCAAACACTTGATATTTTTCTCTATTTTGCTGATCTTCAATATCCATTAATTTTTTAATGTGTTCACTCATCTTCAAGTGCACTAGCTCTAGAGTGTCAAATCCTCTGAACTCTGGTGATTGTTGTTCATCAAACACTCTGCGTCCAACAACCCAATGCGCATACCAGTTACCCACAAATTCGCCACACTGAAACGCTGCAAGTTTAAGTTGTAAAAAATCAAAATCGAAATTTTGGTATTTTCTATTAGCATATTTACAAAGCTTGAATTATGTTTGCCTACACTAAAAAGTTAATAAAAATTGCATAAAACTATAAAAAATGCTGTATATGTAGCGATTATGTTCTTCGCATTTATGGATCAGTAAATGATTGAAGAAATTGTGTAACATTTCCTGGGGAATCGTTTCAATGACATTACTAATATTCCACTTGAGATCGTTCAGGCTATTTGGCAAAGGATTACAGAATCTCTCCTTGTCATAATTCCAGAGAAAAAAGTCTAGAACTGTCAAGTCAGGAGAGTAACGTGTCCATATTCAATAGGACCAGCTCTCCCAATCCATCTTTTTCCAAATGTCATAATTATCTAGTGATTCCCTTGCTATTAAACAATAATGAGTTGGGGCACCATCCTGCTGAAAATAAATATCGTCCAAGATATCCTCCTGTCTCAATTGTGGATAAAAGAAATTTCCCAACATATCATTGTATACACTTGGTATACAGTTCCTGTTATCGTTAGTTCATTAATGAAAAATGGTCCTTTTTTCTCAACAGAGTTTGCACACCGAACTGGTACTTTTGGGGTATCTCGCTATTTCTGTTGGAACTCGTTAAATTATCTTGGAAAATGTATTTCATTCAACTTGATATCCAACTTGACAGTTACACAAATTTTTGCCATAGTGATAGCAAGCGCTAACACTACATAAATAGAGATGGTAAATCATTCATAAAAACGCGGACAATGCGGACCAATCAACAACAAATTCCGTTTGACATTTCTTACTACGATTACTACAAATAATACAGGGCATTTGCGATTAAGTTCGGGCTTGCTTTGGCAATATTTGCATCCTTCTTCATCTGGATTTCTAAACAAAGATAAAAACGATTTAGGTCGTTGTGATATACAGGGTGTTCCATTAAAAATAGTGGAGAAAAACGGTTTTGTTTTTACTTGCCGTGTATAAGTGGCAAAAAAATTTGCAACCTACTATAAAAAACTTTAGGTCAAGAGAAATCGAATGGCGCAAACCGCAGGTAGGCTAAACATGTAGCATGTTTGTGAGTGAATAATTTGTGAGATTGTGACTTTGTGTTACTCGTTTATGTTAATTTTATCAAAGTCTCTGAGAAAAATTCTCCAATGGAAAGCCTGTTTAAAATTCCGGACTCGTCCATTAACATTTCACTCATACTGTAGAAGCTTATTTTCTGGACTTATACCTTATCCATATCCATTACCCTTGCTACAAAAACAAAAATATATATTTTGTTCCAAATCTATTGATTCCTTCACTTATCCAAAATATTTTTTAGTTGGCGTACGATTACAAGTTCGACATTGAAGACGATCAAAATAAAATATCCTGCATGTGTGGAGCACCAAACTGTAGAAAATGGATGAATTAAGGGTTTTATTATTGACTATGATGGGGCAAATCAGGTTTAGAAATAAACGGTGTAAAGTCATTTTGACGATATACACCGTGCAATATTAGTTTTAATCGCGCTTATTGCCTCGTATCTTTATTACATACACAAGATTTTTTGTAGATTGAGATTGTCATATTTTGTTTTTATTTATCACAAAATATTGTATATACAAAAAAGCATAGCTTACCAAGTTTTTACTGAATTTTTTTTTATTTTATATAGTTTTTATGTCATATTTTGTATTTATGCATTACAAAATATTGTATATACAAAAAAGCAAGTTTTAATAATTGAAATTGTCTTTATTTTATAATGTTTATATGTAGGGATTAGGAAACGACTAGGCTCTATTTTTATTTTTTATTTCTGGAATAACTTTTTATTTTCTGGTGGGCATTGACAATCATGCCATTGTAATAAATGATATCTTTGTGAAACTTTTTATTGTACAAACGTTTTGTATATACATATTTGTAGCTATGTAGTGTCAATAAATAATTTTTAATTATTTACCCATGTATTTTCTTATTTAGGTTACACATTTGAAATAAAATACTTAAATTTCAAACCCTATTCATATTTACAAGTTAATCCAGAATATCGCTTTTCTTTTCGCCAGGATTACACAAGAAATAAAACATGTTTCTTGGTTTCTCTAAGGATTCTTCAGAAGCTGTATCGATAGTCTCTTTTTCTACTGCATCCACATCTTCATCTAAATTTTCCAAAAGTTCCGTTTGTGTGAATCGATCTTTAAGACAATAAGGTTCAATTTTACGTTTGAAGTCTTCCAGAGAAAATATATTTGAAATCGATCGTTTGACTTGGCTTTCAACATACAATTCTGATTCAATTCTTTTTTCTGGTAGTTCTATTATTTTTGGCTTTTGTTCATTCAAGAAATGTTGCTTGACACTCGAATTATTTTGCCAATGAAGATCCTTGAGGAATTCAAGATATGCACTATACTCTTCAGATTCTTTTGGTAATGCCTTTTCACTAGTAATAGTAGACCGCGTAGAATTGGCTGAATATTTTTTACTTGTATTTACTATTGAAATTTTCTTAGATGCAGTCTGCCTGAAGGAAGAGTCACATTTCAGCAATTCACTCAAGGTATTGCTAGAAATACTTCTATCTTTAAGTGCTTCAATTGTATCTTCTAATGCATCTACTGCTTCACAAAGGGTTTTGTAGACTATCAGATATTTATCTTTATTAATTTCTTCTGCCAGTATGGGAGTTATTGTTTCTTTACAAATTGTTTGCTCCATTGTTTCAAATTGTGGGAAAGTTTCATAAAATGGATCAAAATCTTCCTTGATAAAGACAAATAAATCTTCTTCCTAAAACAAATATTTACTATGGTTTACTGGATACTTCAATTGCTACTATAAATAGCTCCTAGCAGTGGATAAACCTAAACTTGTTGGCCATGGCAAGGCTCTAAGGTTTGAAGCTGACATGATCACAGGTTTTCAACAATCGGCAGAGTAAGATGATTTTACAATTAACACAGTTCAATCTAATCTAGATTTTTAACTGCTCGAGCAATAATAATAAACCAAAATTTTCTACGAGATTTGCATACTATACCTGATTGGTTTGTGTTTTACCCTTTTGTCCTTTTAAAACATTGGATTTTTTATCCTCAAAAACCTGACCTTTCTCCTTTATTGTCCCTTTCAAAGTAGCCTCGTCCTTGTTGAAGTACATTTTATGCACTTTCTTGATGTCAGAAAGGGAAACGCTTGTAAGAAGCACTGATTTGGGTTTTGCTCTGACTGCATCTAATGGATGCGATAGCCTTTTAGTTCTCAATATATAACGTTCGTCAAAGATTTCGTACAATATTCGTTCTGGTACTGTATCATAGTGTCTATATTGAATTTTCTCATTAGAATCATTTTTATTGACTATATTGTTATCTTTTATTTCCTGCGAGTTATTTGAGTCTAACTTATCCAGTTCATTGGAGATTTTTGAAAAGAATGTTTTAAGTACTATGTAGGAGAAGAGATACTTTTCTCTCTCTTTGTTAATGTAAATTGAAGGTTTTTCTAATTTGCGTAAAACATCACTAAGGTTCTTGTAACATATCATCGGCTGAATTTCATCATCTGGTTGAGAATTTGGCCGACTAACTTCTGTAAATAATAAAATAATCTCCAATTTTTACACATCAAATACAATAGCTAATAACTATAGGGGAAAAGCGCCACAGATAATGTTTACCAAAGTTGATAGTTTATATTTAAATGGATACTAGCGTTGGTCCTTGCAGCCGTTCGTCTATAGGAGGAGTTCGTCATTTCTTAAATGTTCATTAGAAAACCCATCATCAAAATAAGTAATTACCTACGATATTTGAATTAATTGACGTTGTTGAAAACTAGAACCCATTACTTGGGTTGGGAAAAAGTTGTACTAATTTTTACCCCATTTCATTACCTACAACATTAACATGTTTGAGTAGACTTTAGCTTCATCAGACCACATATGTGTTTTAATAAAATATAGTATAAAAACTTTTTCCCAATCATAAGTAGGTAATTATAAAGTCTGTTTTTTTTTTAAAGATAATTCCCCAAGTCAAAAACTTAGTAACTATGTTGGCAACACAAGCCTTTCCTACATAAAAAGTTTGAAAGCATTGACAATTTTACATTATACCAAAAAGAGGGCTATAAATTACACGGATTTAAAAAGTGAAAAGGGGCAATTTCCGATAAATAGTTTTGGCAATTATTATTTACCCTAATAAAATTTAAATTCAATCCAATAACTTTATCTTAAATTAAATCCCAATAATCAAGGTTATAACTGGAAAGAAATAAAGTAAATAAAGTACTCTCAATAGTCTCAATTGGAATTATCTAAGTTCAAATTAAAATAATAATTAACGTAGTTATCTGTTTCGCAGCTTGAGCCAGTGATAAGGGTTAAAATCTAATCTAACAATTATTATACGGACCCCCCTCTATAGTCATCAGTTATCTTTACCGAAAACGGTCCGAATGAACTTATTACACAACCAGAAGGGACACGAGATTCTTGACCCTTCAAATAAACTCATAAATCTAATCACCCAACGACATTAATCACAAGGCTAACTTGTTTAATTGTGTACACGCGCTGTCGGCGTTTTTAAATAGCGGAAACAGGACAAATTTGTTGCAACATTACTCAGATAAATAGTAAATTGAAAAACGCAGGTGGAAGGGTCATTGCGGAGATAGAGATTCCTCAAAATGGACGCGATGACCTTAAACTCACGCGGAGATTTGAATGAATAAATGAATGAAAGAGTGGGCGGCCGCGACCGTAGTGCACATAGGTCTTCTGTGATGGAACCGTCGTGACCCACTGAGTTCTACCAGAGGCCTATGTCCTTAGAAAAGCCAATCAGGCACCCTGGCTTCTATAGACTGTCCTCATGGCCTCGAACTGAATCACGAAGACCAAGGGCGGGAGAAATAGGGGTGTCTCCAGGGCCCTTGTTGGGGCCGTACGCATGGACCTTATGCTAAGGCAAGAAAGGCGCTGGACGCAGTCCAGTTGCGCCCGTATTTTGGCTTTCTCCGTGCAAGGCCACCAAACGATAGCCCCGTATGTGAGAAGAGGTTTAACTATAGAGTTATGAATCCAGTAAAGGATCTTCGGTGAGAGATCCCAGGTGCAACCAAAGACCCGTCGGCATGCCCAAAGGGCATAGGTAGCCTTTTTCATCCTGTTCTGTGCGTGTTTATACTAGGACCGTTTAGAATCCAGCATCACGCCTAGATACTTCTCCACCTTGGAGTATTTAAGAGTCACACCTCCCAGAGAAATGTTGGGCGGTGTGCCGAAGTTGCGTCTCCTGAAGAAGAGTAGGAGCTCCGCCCTATTAGGGTTTATCCTGAGTCCTTCCGCAAGGCACCACCGGGTCACTATTCGCAGAGCCCTTGCCATAGGGCCCTGCATTGAGACGGCGTCCTTACCCGGACAAAGGATAACCAGCTCGTCGGCGTAGGCCTGAGTATACAAGCCTACCTTGTTTAGTTTAGTAATCAGATCGTCAACTACCAGGTCGCTCGCTGCAGGCGCTGCTAGAGGCCACATTTTTTTGGCTGCCACGCGCAATAATCTTATATTTTAATAAATATTTAGTCAAAATTGTTTTTATTTATTTATGAAAAATACAAAAGTTTCATTCTACTTATTACCAGATTTTCAAAATTGAAAAGTAGGAGGTAGTGAATGGGAGGGAAAAATAATGTTTCTCTGCAGGCGGAATTTTTTTTCAGGTGCCACGCCCTAATTTTGTCACATTTTATCATATACAGAGTGTACGAAAAGTAACGGGACGGTCAATTATCTCTGAGGCCAGTGGTGCAATTTAAACAAATTCTTATATTCAAGACGAATTCAAAAATTGTATGGATGTTGTTGCCAGACTTACCAATAATAGTTATTACAAGAGGAAAAGTTTTGTCGGCACTGGACTACACAACTTATACTTGGACCAAGTAAGTTGGCAGCCAGCCTACTTACTTGGATGTTAGATGTTAGGACCTATCCTGGACTTGGATAAACAGTTAATATGATAAAAGTGTCGTCCAAGTGAGGCGTGCGTAGCGTCCAAGACTCCAAGTATACTTGGACCGTGTCAACCGAACCTGGCTTAAATAAAGTGGAGTTTGGTAGAGAATTCTTGAAGCTCAAACCCCCTTTACAATCTACAGTCAGCGTCACAACGAAGCGCTGATGATTGCCAATGTTCGTAGAGAACAAGGCACTTGAAGAAGAAGATCGAGTTCCTTGCTTAGACCAAGAAACATAATCGAATAGAGAGAATAACAACGACTCTATCTATAATGAATTTGGGCAGGAAAAGTAACCGACAATAGATAGGACAAAGCAAGTAATGGAATGGAGACCAAGAAAAGAAGCCTATCGTAGTAGAGGCCGTAGGATATCTTCAGTTCAGATTTGATGCCCAAGCACTCAAGCTTGAGTAGTTCTGTCTTCGTTCGGAATTAGAAATAAAGAAAGATTCAAATAATATTATCAAAGTGCGCTCGCCTATCATCGACGTTAAGCGTAAAGCTCCCCAGTTGCGTTGGGTTGCCAGATTGAACTATTTAAATTATGGTAATAGTTATTTACCTAACAAATGCGGAAAGTGATAACTTTAACGCAGTGTTACTTTCAACTTGCAAATAAGTGCGGTAAAGTGCACTTTACCGCACGCTCGTAGGTAAAAATAAATAAGGGCACCTAATTCAGAATTATATTTCATGTAATTTCCATTTTTGGGAAAAGCGGGAGTTTTGTTTAAGGGCGCGGGAGGCGGGAGGTTTAGTAAAAAAGCGGGAGACTCCCGCCTAAATCAGAAGGGTTGGCAACCCTACACACAACTACAGGCAACAGAGGCAACCCTGTCCCTAGCGGTGGGGGCTAGGGTTGCCTTTGTTTCCAGACGTCCCTATTTCGGATATTTATGAAATAATTGAAAACAATTTTATTAAATAATTAGATAAAGGCATTAAATCAATGAAATTAATGAAATTATGTAGTTAATTTATCCTAACGCTTGAATATTTTTTATTCAGGGGCTTTTGCCACTCATCACTAATTTAAATTTGGGGGGGTTAATTTCAGATTTGGGGGGGGCTTAGAGCCTTAGACCCCCCAAGCCCCCACCTAGAACCGCCCATGGAAGTGGGTGCCGAGATTCCTGGTTGGGCAGAGCTCTCGGGGGGAATAGTTGACGCCGAGGTCCCTGCTTGCATTTTAATTAATTAACAGGTGAGACTTTGGGGAAAGATTAGTTTTATTACTTCGAATGTTTTCGAACTGGCAAATTGGGTTTTGATTATTTAGGTGAAATAAATAATAATTGTGTAAACCTTACTGCAGTTGTTTTTCTCATTTGTGAATAGACCCCCTCCACAATTTTATCAGTAGCTGCCCAAGGAAATAAACACCATCAATAAAACCGCTCGCCATTTATCATCTAACTAATTGAAAGAGTACTTGGGCCTTGGGCGCATTTGCTATACATTCTTTAGGTTCAGTTTACCAATGGATAGATGAGAAAAGTAATTACAGGTTTCAGTTGCTATGTGTAAAATTAACTTGATTCAAAATAATTTATCTAGTATAATAGGCATTCACAACTTTTTATTTGTTAGATGCAATTTTAATTTTTTAAGGTCAGTTTTATATTGTTAGGGCTTATTCGTTAAATATCAGAGACAGAGAGATATAATTAATATCTAAGCGTAGGTAATATGTATAATTTGTACAAGATTATTATAATACTGATTATTGGGCTATTTTATCAAATGTTTATGTTATGTAAGAACTGAGATTTTAATTTAATATCCACACATGGATAATGGGTGTGTTTCTGCAGAAATCACAAACCAGTCAGAGTGAATTTCATTGGTTGAAACTAGTTTTCTGACTGTTTTTGACTAATTTCAACCAATTAAATTTGCTCTGACTGGTTTTTGATTTCTGCAGAAACAGACCTATTATCCATGTGTGGATATTAAATTAAAATCTCAGTTCTTACATAAACATTTGATATAATAGCCCAATAATGTGTATTCCAAATTACCAAAGCATTGATAAACCCACTGAATTTTATTTTCGAGTACCTACCTTTTGTAGTTTTTTCCGTTATTTGTTTATTATTCTCTTTCACAGCTGCAGCTTTAGTGCCTTGTACATCTGCACGGTTGTTTTGTAAAGCTTCCCTCCTCAATTTAGCCTTTTTAAACAACAATAATTTTCTATCGAAATATGAAAGAAGATCTTTTTTCCTTGCGATTTCTCCCAGTTTTTGAATGGACAAGTCCCACTCATCTGGATCATTCAATGACTTGTTTTCTTGATAAAATTGCTTTAGTTCAGATATTATTGGAGCATTATACACGTATTTTGACGTACAACGTGTTACCAAATTGGCACTTTCAAACAAATCCTTTTCCGTGAAATTGAAATATTGTTTTGCTGTAGGCTTACAATAAATTCCCGAGGATATTATATTATTTAGAACCTCTTTAATGGCAGTATTTCGCATTTTATATTGTAGCTTTTCATTTAGTTCATTTATACGCTCTTCATAGTTTCTTATGACAGCAAACCCTTGAAAATGTATTAGAAGACGAAAATCTGGCGTCCATACATTGGGAAGGCTAGTGATTTCCCAGTATTCAGAATAATTTCCAGGATTATGGACTTGGAAACACACTAAAAGTTCTTTTTTTGTCCCTGGTATTAAACAAATTTCATTTTTTTCGAATCTAAATGGATGGAAATTGATTTCCTCATCAGTATCATAATCCATAAAAGCCTTAAATTTTTTAAAATAATTCCAGTAGAGCCTTATAGTTACATTGCCAGTATTTTCAAACACAATTGATTTTTTACTTGGCACCAGTGAATCAGTGAAATGTTCAAATATAACACTTATTTTGTTCTCTTTGTAAACATGTGCAGTATATTTATCAAACTCTTTGTTGTTTATTTTAAGACTTGGCTCAGCATTATATTGTTCAACTGTAACTATTGAATCGGCATGTTTAATTTCTTTAACTTTGGTTTCATTTTTATTTGCTTTTGGTTTTTCTTGTGGTATAGAAGAAGTTTCTGGCTCAGAATTCGTTTCAGCTCCAATTTTGTTTCCTATAATTATCAAATCTGATAAAATGGGCTTGTGAGGTTCAATTTTTAAAAGCTTTTCAGATACCATCTCCAAAACACGTTGTCTATAGGTGCTCTCAGTCCATAAGCTTCTTAAGTGTCTAGAAAAAATCACATAAAATGAATTTAGTAAAATTGGGAAAGATTAAAAAATATCTAAGAAGGTTTTTTTTTAAGAGGTAGGTACAAAAGATATACAGGGTGGCCCATCGAAAACAGTCCAGCAAGGTTTACGGCTCTGGAAGAAAAAAAATTAAAAAACCCTCAAATCCGTAATTTTTTGTTTTCAGGAGGAAACGTTTCACTATTAATTTCATCCCTGTAATCTCAATCCCTACTGCCCTAATTTTTTCAAAGGGGAAGGGGTATGTTGTAATACATCTTTTTAAAGGGCATCAAATTCTCTTCAAAATGTCCTTTTTAAATTTCAGGTACGCGCCGTCGAGAAATTGCGTTTTAAAAAATGTAATTTTATTGAGTAAGTACCTTAGGGAGAACTTTACCTGTTATCTTATTAAATGTTGGAAATGTCTGCTATTCACCTCCATAAAATAGTACAACAACTGTTCAAAGTGTTCTCGGACATTGTATGTTGTAATTTGTTGGCATTTTTACCCCTGAAATACCATATTATATGTATACCTATGTCTCAAAAGAAGTAGGATTTTTTTGCTAGAAGCCTACAAATCTTGAACACCAATTAGAAGCAAAGTTGTGCACAAAATATCTGGAAAGGTAGCAGTGCTGAGCGGCTGTATCAATTTGAAACGACTCCAGTGGCCGGACTCTTGTCTCAGGGAGTAAAGCTCTCCGATAGAACGAATGTTTTGTTCTTGTCAACGTAATTGAAAAGTAAACGAGAATGATAAAGACAAAAAAATTGTTCTCTCGGGAAGCTCTGCTCCCTGAGATGAGAATCCGGCCTCAGATGTAATCTACATTCTACAATCTAGATTTGACACCATAGATCTTTAAAATTCAGACATATTAAGTTAGTTCAATCTGACTCATTCAAAAAAAAGCCATCTAGAATATTTTGAAAATCAAGTGGAGGTACCTATAGAAGGAAGAAGTAAACGCCGGAGGATCCGTAAAATAGTCACTGGACCTGGTAATAATTTTACCAACCCCTGCCATGGGAAATCAGTATACCATCATAGGTGGGTTTTATTTCACTATTGTGTTAGCTCAACTTTAGATAGACCGGTTTGATAAGTAGAAAAAATATTTAAAAAATCTACCTTGTTCTAGGTCGAATATCTTTCTCGTCCATAATAGCGCTAGGAACGCCAATATATTCCAATTCAGGAATCTCATTCTTTTCTTCTTTGAAACGCGTCAAAAAATATTCAGTATCCTTAAAAGGCGGCACGTGACTTTTAAAGCATGGAGGCAGCTTCCAGAAAATTGGGTCTCCACGGTATTTATCAAAATTATCTTCTATTTGAGTGTAACGCAAAACTAGCTGTTCCTCCTTAACTCTTCGACAGTTCTCTGCTGAATTCATTAACAATTCTCCTGGCAAACAGCCCAATTTTGTTGTTAGTTTCTGGTGCATTTGTTGTCGTCGTTTCAGCCATAATCTCCAGTTTTTTAAAGGATCCGCACATTTTCTGCTGTTGCAACCTTTACAACCGATATCACACATTTTTTGTCATAAGCATATAAATGTCAACTTTGATTTATTTCAAAATGCCAATCCAGAAAATCCCTGTAAAAAACTTTCATGTTTCATAAACCATTCACAATATGAGCAAACAGAGCAGATCATCTAGATCATCTAGAGTTTCCTCGAAAAACTCGTCTCACCCCCTATCGGTTGGTAAGCAAATGGATGCAACTGGGATTCAATTTTTTTTAAATGTAAATACCTATATAAGAATTTTCAGACGAATTGCTTTTGGATAGCATCGACGGTACCAGTCTAGATCAGTCCAGGCATGTGTGCGAAGTTCTTTATTCTGAAGCAATACATGAATCACCCATTGATATCAATATTAGCAAAATGATTCGGGTTGATATTGCGCCAGAATTAACTTGGATGAACTTTGAGTCGATACCAAGAAAGATGAAAATTACTAATAATGGACATACTGGTAAGAACATCTCATAGATTTTGTTAGTGATAAAAAATAAAACAGTGGCATAACTATACGTACTAGATGATCCTTTCCAATAATTGCGAGAGAGATGTTAACACACAACTGACTCAATGTAACTGACACAACAAACTTATTGATAAACTTGAAAAGATAGTCCATATTCTTGCAGTGGAGCTTTGTAAATTACAAAAAGAAAACTTCATCAGTCTTCTCCACTAATTTTTATTTGTTTCTTTGTTGGAAAACTACTAGAACATGTTTCGGGATTATAACAATTCCATCTCCAGCTGAAACAATTACAAACTCTAAGTTCTCTTTTTTTTTGTAAATGGTGAAATTTTGGGACCTTCTACATCGTTCCCCTTCCGGTTGAATTGACTTGTTGCAATCGCCCAAGATTAGATGAACAAGCAAAGTAATGTGTGACTGCCACCTAGGCTAATATATTGTGCTCCTCCATCTGCTGCTGAATTCTCTCTAGGACCTCTAGTCTAGTCCTAAGTCCTTTAGGAATTCCCAGGATATTCAGTAATTCCAAAAAATTATCGAAATGTGTTCTAACTGTTAAGAGGCGTTCCAGATTCTTCATCCTCAAATGACTAACGGCATCGCAATTCAGTAAAAAGTGGTGAGGTGTCTCATCTCCATCTTCACAGAATCTACAGGTACCGCTTTCTTCCAACCCCAATTTTTATAGGTGTTTCTTAAGGCTGCATTGTCCCGAGAGAAACCCGCGGGCCTATTCTCTATGAACAGCAATTACATAGCAACCAGCAACCGGTCGCTAGTTGCTTTTTTTGAATAAAAAACTCGCGTCAAATCGCGATTTGACAGCTACAATTGCGCAATTCTCTCGGTTGCAAGTTACAGAATAAGGCTGCCGGTTGGGGACTTTTCTCGATAAGGTTGACCAGCTGTTCTAATATTTTTCGCCCAGAAGATCATTAGAGGTGCGCATTTCTGAGGCCGCAGAAAATGGTTCAGGTGCAATATGAGAGTAGGAGCTCCCGTTCTCGTAAGTATGTCTGCGCATTCGTTGCCCTCAACCCGTATGCGTTGAGGCACCCAGAGTAGGCTTCCTTCGTTTTTCTTGCCTGACTCATTAAGTTTCTGTATCACTTAGCATGAATGACTGGGGACCAAAATGCTTTTATTGCTGTTTAGATGTAAGACATTATTGTCACTACGGATTCCCATCTTCACTAAAACTCACATCCCAAACAGTACCCCTTTAAACAAATTGACTTACTTTATATAAATTTACTTAGGTATTTAGGTATCATTAATGGACGCATTCGCAGCGTACGCAACAAATCTCATGTCTAAACTGTCTGACTACAACAACGCTCTTATTTAAACTGCACACAACAAAAGCTCTTCGTAAGACTTAGGCGGGGAGCTCAACGAAATAACGTGGCTTATGAAGTGGCGTGTGATCTAGCAAGTGGCATACCCCTTTTACGTGCCACTAAATGCATGATACTTGTCTTGTCACTTCAGTGGGCTCTTGCTTATTTGTTCATGTTCGCTTGATTTTATGTAACATGCTAGATGTGTGCTATTTGCTAGTTCACACGCCACATCATAAGCCAGGCTATTTCGGTGGGCGCCGGACGTAACTCAACCTTGTTACTAGGCGCTATATATAGACGACAGACGACGATAGAAAAAGGCGTTAATGGAATAATGAATTCCCTGAAAAGACGCGCTCCCAGACGTGAACAACTAAATTCGTCGAATCAGGCCGGGCTCTCGACGCAAATTTCGTAACATGTAACATTAATATAATGTCTGGTTTCATGCAATGTCGCTGGAAATATGCTTGGTTGCCCATTGCCTTCGAGTATCTGGTTCCCTCAGAGGTCTTGGAACTTTCTGTGCACCATTTGATGGTGTTTGCTTTTAGATTATAAGTATGTTTCATTTTTTTTACGTGCTTAGTTCAATCGAATTATTTTTTTCGAAGCTGAATTTCTCAACAGGCACATTACTTTGTTTTCTACGAGTCGGTTCTAGAGACGTTTAGAGTTAAGGATATTATTCCTGGAAATTTTATTTTTTGTTTTCAATTGAATTTTCTTCCATTGACCATTGAGAGGAACCTGACTCAAGTTGGAATTAGCCTCGCTGACTGACACCATTCTATCTCACTTACCACTTTTCTGCTGAAGCTGCAAACACCTCCTTTGCCCGCACAAACCGGCACGTAAGATCTTTCTATGCCGCTACCAGCGTTTAAAGGGAATGTTAAAACCAGAAAATGAAAAACTAGCTTTCAAAGATTAAAATAAATTTATTTGAGATTAAAAAGAGAAGTTAGGAGTTAATTGACAAAAAAAAAGATAAGAGGAAAAAAAAACGCAAATTACTGATAATTTAAATAGTATAGGTTTTTTACGTTATATTTAGGATGACGTCAGAGAACAATGATTGACAATGTTGTCAATGCCTATTTGTTTTCTTATAATTTACCAGAATGTCATAATCAAGACCACTGTCAGCTAAAAATAACGAAATGAATCGACACGCGTTATTTATTTGAAAATGTTCATTTAAATCATGCAACATTGCGCGCCGTTGCCAACCAGAAACATCCGAAATTCCCCTACTTTAAATGCGTTAAGAAGTACTTTTAGTTTTGTTAGATTTGCAACAGAAATTTACTAAATGTGACGTCATCATAAATATAGCGTGAAAATCTTATACTTCGACCAGGCGCTACTAAAGTTACCTTATTTAATTAATAGACCAAAAACAAATTGAACTGAAGCAAAATTAAGGAAAAGAGAGTATTTTCCTAATTAAAAGATTTGGTCCCAAAACTGACTCTTTATAATAGAATTGAAATTAAAAATTAAGTATCACCTCTTTGAAGAGTCTTCACTAAACACTGGGCGGTAGATGAACTTGTGGATGAGAAAAATGGGTCGAGAACTCGTTGAGATTTTGCGATTTAAATTTCCGGCGACAACTAGCGTTAACTGGCCTCAACAATCGCTTAAATAAGCAAGAGCAACCACCCTCTGGATACCGCTTTAGAAGGCCTTTGGCCTATCTTTTAGTACCGGGGTTGAGAGTCGAGAGCTTCCTCAATTTCAGCGAATCTCTGAAAGTATCCTCCGGTATTTCTTGTTGTTTTTTCATTGGTTCTCAAGTTGTATCAGCCTACCCTATTCACATCTGCTTCACCCCGTGATCCAGTTTGATAGCTCTACAACAGACTTCGCTGGCTACATGATGTAAAATTAATAATTGAAGTGTAGTAACATACCCTGGTTCATTCAGCAAGATTGAACGGTATGAATTTTTATTACCTTTTAAACAACAAATCTTCTGAAAAACGGAATGAAAAACAAATAGGACCTACGTTGTGGAAACTTACTCAATTTTACTTACTGGACATGCGCCCGACATAGCAAATATATATTTGGGAAATTTAACGGAAGCTGTGATATGTAAAAGAAACGAAAATTTGTGAAACGTCTACTTTATTATTAAAGTAAATCGTACCGTTCTCATCCTGGAACTAACGAGGGGAAAGAGCACGTTAGAGAAACCCTCGATCTAACATTCCTCAAACATACTGTGTCATTTTAATAATGGCCGCGTTCACCAGATACAAACGTTGGTGAACGGTTTTGCGATTGTTCTGCTGAATGCTACGTTGAATTTGTGTTAAAACCAAACATGTTTTGCAAACGGTCGCCATTTTTGCAAGCATAATTTCAGAGTGTTTATAATTTTCAACACTGTGTTTTCTGTGGTGACCTGTCATTCAGAAGGTGACGTTCTATCATTGAAAAGTTAAATTGTTCAGCAGAACCAAGAGATTACCCAACATATTCTGTTGGTATTTGTAAACTGTTTACAATCCGTTTTGGTTCTGGTGAACGTAGCCATTGTGTCATTTATTCAATAAAAGTTGAAACTAGGCACCGCCCCTGTTCTTGTGCTAAAATTTCAATTACACACACTACATTCAATCAACACTTCCTATAATCAATACTGAAGAGTTTTTGGTTAGTTAGCCCATCTGCGGCAGGTACTGAGGTCGCTGGTTACCTACGTAGACTCACAGCTATAGTTGTTATTTTGAGCCAATATCTCTTTCCATTGTTTGGTAGGATATTCGCTCGTCAAGGTAGGAAAATGTTAGTAAATTCAACAAGGCCCTAATGCACGTTCTGAATACACAAAATCAAAATCTCAGCGCAAAAAGACGTATAATTTTTTAGGTTTTAATTTACTTCTTTATCTGTGTTGTTTACAGCAGGAAACCATTTTTGTTAAATACATGAACAATGCACATGCTATAAAAAATGTTATAAACAAACAATAGAAACATAAAAATAGAAAAAAAATACTTGTATAAATTGAACTTTCAAAAACAAAATAACAATTATTCAACTGACCTGTGATCGCTCCTTGACACACACACTAATCACAAATTTGATTGAACAATCAGTTTAATACAAAATAAAAATAAAAATTGAATATTGAACAATGGCGGACAAAACCTTAAGGGACCAACCCAGAGCTTCGCTTGTTCTCTAGTCTAGTCGCTTCTTTCTCCTGTCTCCCGTTCGCAGTACCGTTCCTTGTGGCTCGAACGGGGTCACCCCTAAATTTTACGGCGAATACATGGTTGCAACATTTACTTTTATTCAGTTTTTTTAAAAAGTTAAGATTCAAAAATAGCTATTTTCCTAACGAGTGCGGGAAGAGAAATTTCCGGCACGAGGGTGCGAAGCGAAACGTTTACTGAATAAAAGTAAATGTTTCAACCATATAATGCGCCGTGAAGTTCAGGTTTACGCCGCGCCGCCACGAGAAAGCGTAGGTACCAAAAGGGTAGACAGGTAGAAAATGAGAGATGAAAGGGAACAATCTTGTCTTGCCCGCCATTGTTCGTTTTTCAATTTTTATTTTATATAAAATATATATAATAATATAAAATATATATAATAATATAAATATAAAATATATATATATAT